TTCTTTTTAATATTACTAATCTCAAGCTATCTATATTTTATAATAACTAAATTAGCTTTCTTATTTAAGATAATTTTATTTTCAATAAGTTAAAATTCTTCTTTTTTAGTTTACTTGAAAGAAAAGATTTTAATTTAAACTTTTGAAGTATTCTTTTTTAATTGAAAAAATCATTGGTTTTTTAATTTTATTTCTTTATTAACTTAAGAAATCAAAGGGTAAAATATGATTTATAAAATTCAAGATCAATAAATTTAAAAATATAGTTTTTCAATTCTAATAACAAGTTTTTTCTATAATAAATATAGAAATATACAATATATTAATTGCATTTATCAGTATTAGATGAACTGACTAAGATAAAAGCATTTAAAATATAAGATATTTTAAATCAGAATAAGATATTAATATAAGTAATTAAGATTCTGAATAATAAATCTTCATAAGAAATTTTATTTATATTTTAAGAAAGAAAGTTCAAGATTTATAAAAATTAGACTTTATCTTAAAAATTAGGCAAAGAGATAGATTCAAATTATTACTATTGTTATGATAGTTTTATATTTTCAATAAAATTATGTAAGGATAAATAAAACTAAAACAATTATTTAAGGAATTACAGATAAGGATTCATAATAATATTAAAGATTTTCTTAATATAAAAACATGTAAAATAATAAATAAAATAAATATAAGAATTACATTTCAGAGACTTTAAGCTAATATAATAAATTAATATAATATTAGATAATAAGTTTATTAACAATAATTAAAGGGATTGCAATAAATGCGAAGAATTATAAATAAATTATAACAGTTTTAAAGAGTTGTAAAAGATAAGTTTTATATTTGGTTAATTATACTCCTTAATTAATATAATAAGTTTAAAACTTAAAAGATTAATATTTTATCAGTGCTGAAACTTAAAGAAAATATAGTGATATTTATATATGTTAAATAATTAATAAAATAAAATAAATTAAATATATCAAAAGAAATAAAAGTTGATATTTCACTAAGCAATAAAGTTGCTGTATCAATAAAATTATCAAATCTGCAGATAATTAAATAGATATATATGATATATACTAGTAATTGGTTAATTACCCTATCAATTGATGTTAATCATGCCTAAATACTGAGTCTTGAAAAATATGTAAATACAAATAAAAATTAAAGATTAACAAAAACTTAGCTTTCGCTAATAGGTTTTTAATAGATATTATCTTAATTCTTCAAACTCAGAGACTCTTAAATAAATAAGAAAATAATTAACTAATAATTAGTAGATTTGGAATATTTTAGAATACCATATTGAACCCTCTGAAATTGATATTAAAAAATGTATAAAATATGTTACATAAGCATGAGATAATGTTACAAATAAAATAATTGAAAATTGTTGGGTGAAAGTAGATATTTTACCTAAAGATAATCATAAAAATGAAGATAAAACTGGTAATAATATATTACTTGAATTTAAATGGTTAAAGAAGATGGAAGAAGTTTAAGTATTAATCGATAAACTAGATTTTAACAATCCTTTTTTCGCTGAAGAATTTGTCAAGTATAATAAGGTTGAGATTACAGATGAAATAATATCTGACAAAGAAATTTTAAAAGCAGTTTTACCTGACTAAGAAGACGAAAGAGAAGAAAATTCTTTATCACCAATAATTACTTCTGGGAAAGCTTATAATAAAGTAATTTTATATTTGAAGCAGTAAGAAAAATCTTTTGACATGAAAAAGGAAGAGTTAAGGTTTATTAAAAAGCTTAAAAAAAAAGCTTTAAAACAATAATTTGTCTTTTCAAAATAAACTAATTTCGATAAATTTATTACTATAATAAAGTAGTAATTTAAAGAGTTACACAATAATGTTTACAGTTTTTTTTTACTTTTTATGGAATAAAATGACATAATAATCACAAGAAATTTTGATGTATTAACTAAATAATACTTCTGTGATCATGTTAAAATTTTGTTGAAATTTTATTGAAATTGTATTGAGAAATTACATTGTTTTTTATTAAATTTTAACCAATTTTTATTGAACTTGTGTTGAATTTTCTTATTATTTTTTTACTAAATTGTAGCAAATAATTTTATAATGATTTTTTATTTATTACCAAGGTGATGATTTAATCTACTCTGATTGTTTGATGTATTATATTTATCAATTTGCGTAAGTTATTTTTGGGTTGATCTAATTTTTATAAATAATATGATATATTATTATTTTGACTTTTTTTTATACAAATCTGAATTTTTGATTATGAAGAATTCTTTTTGTATTATTTTAATCATGAGTAAAGAATTTCACAAGATATCAAATCAATAGATAAATTTATTTATAAAGAGAAGTATTTTTTATCATTGTATAATTTTTTACCTTTTGAAATTTAAATCAATCTTTAAATTATTTTAATTTACTTTATTAAATCATATTTTTTTTACAAACACAAAAATGACTATAAGAATCATTTGAAAGAATAATGAAATTGACTTATTAGTTGAGAAAAGAAGGAGAAGAAACAAAGAGTACTATATAAGATACAAAAGCAATAAGATGGGGTTTTGAAGGAGTGTAATTCAATGAATCAATTAAAGATTCAATACGACATATTTAACTTGCTAATATGAGTTGAAATAGAAGAATTTAGTATGAGATTACAATATAAGTAAATAAATGAATAACAATATAATGATAAGTATAACTCAACAGTATAATTAATATCTTTTAGGATTTTTGCAATTATTGAAATAGAATGAGAAGAGGTGGGAGGTAAACATATACTATAGAAAGATTATACGATCTCTTCAGGACTTGATTCTAGGATAGATCAGATAATAATTAAAAACGTTTAAATGATTTTTTAGATTTATATTAAATATATTTACTTTTTTAGAATCAAGGCATACTCGTAGGAGAAATCATAATTTGTCTACTATAAGGCAAATACGAAACTCAAGGCAAAACTGTGATGAGCCTGCAAAACAAAACTGAAATAGACAGCAAAATTGCAACATGCCTGTAAGGTAATAAAAATTTTGGTTTTTTTTCTTATTGTTCATTTAATTTTATTTTATTTTCGTATCGTACGTTTAATTTTGTTTTTCATTTTCATTTTTTCATTTCATTTTATTTTCCTGATTTCATTTTTTCATTTTGTTTCTTTTTCTTAATTTCGTTTTATAGTTTCTTTTTATTTTTTTATTTTATTTCATATTCCTAATTTTATTCTTTTATTTATTTAATTTTGTTTTTTGTCTCATCTTGTTCACTTAATTTCATTTTATAATTTTGTTTTAGTTTCTTAATTTCATTTTTTTGTCTTATTTAGTTTTCTTTTCATTTTATTTTTATTTTTATTTTTATTTTCTTTTAAAAAAAAATTTAAGTAAATTAATAAAACTGTCATACAATGATTAATAGATTGCATATTAAAATAAGATAACTAGAATTTACAAAATAACATGAAAATATTTCTGGAAAATTATATCATAGTAAAATTATATTTGTGTAATGAAATCAGTAATCATCTACTATAACAAATAATTCATTATAGTATTAACGAAGATTCTTATAATGAAGTTCTGATCAGCTAGATTGGCAACTTTATTATATTAAAACATGACTGTACAGTTAAATTTACTTACTTATTTATTATAAATTACTTTTATTAAAATTAAATTTATAATTTGTAATTTAAAAATAATTTTGTATTAAAGAATTTTATTATTAATTTTAATAATTTTATTAGAAATTACTTTTAGTTATTTTTAATTTTAATATAATATTATATTTATTTTGAAAAAATTATAATTTATTAAGACATTTTTTAATAGTAAAGTAATATAATTTTAATTAATATGTAAATATATAAATTTTAAAGAAATTTTTTAATAATTTATTAAAAAATTACTATATTTATAATAATTTTATGATATTTTTTAAATAAAAATAAAATTATAATTAACTAATAATATTTAAAGATAAATATATATATAAAAAAATTAAATTTTATACACATATTTTATTATTTATTAATAATTTAATAGGTTTTAACAAAGTGAATTCAAAAATAAATTTTTTTTTTTTTATAGTAATCATTAGATAATAAGTTATTTTTAAATTAAAAAATTATTATATATTGATAATTTAAAATACTATTATTAGATGTATTTAAATATAATATTTTATAAATAATTTTATATTTACTATTTATAATAATTTGCAATTTTTTATTATACTAATAATTTTATTAAATTTTTATTTTTTAAATTATTTAACAAGCAAATTACTTTGAAAAAAAAGTATTTATTTCTTAATAAAATATGTAATTTTAATTTTAATAATATAATTAATATATAAAAAATGTAGTTTTAATATATATTTTATCAACTTTATAGAAAATAATTTAAGTATATTAAAAACTTTTTTAAAATAATTCAATACTAAAAAAATTTATTGTAAAAATTTTTTATAATTTATATATTGCAAACTAAATGAATTAATAAAAATTATAATAAAATTATAAAAGTGAAATAATTAAAGTTATTCTTTATAATAAATTTTTTAATATTATATTATGATTAAATTTAATATATAAATTTTAATAAGATTGTTAAAGGTTTAATAATAATAAATTTTTTAAAAATTACAAATTTTTAACTTATAAGTAACTTTAAATTTTTTATAATATAACTAAAATAAAATTTACTATATAAACGCAATATTATCACGTGAAGTTACGTGACACAAGTGATTGATTAAAGAAACGTCATCTAGAACAAAAAAAATTTTTTTTTTTTTAATCGGATTTTTATCAACGAACAAAAGTTAAACGTCCACCTAATTCACCAAAATGGTGCGTGTCAATTAAAATTTATATATATGGATGAGATACATTTTGATAAAGATATAGAAGAATGATAAATACTCTGTTATGTTGTTTTAAAAGGAAATAATAATTAATTTTTTTTTAATACACTTTAGGCTGATTCAGGAACAGTTACCATAAGAACACGCAAATTTCTTAGTAACCGGCTATTGCATAGAAAGCAATTTGTGGTAGATGTTATTCACCCTGGTTGTGCTAACGCATCAAAAGTTGAAATTCGCGAAAAATTGGCCAAAATGTATAAAACTGACAAAGACTTTGTTTTTGTTTTCGGTTTTCGTACCGCTTTTGGTGGTGGTCGTTCAACTGGTTTCGGTTTGATTTATGATACTCTTGAAAATGCGAAAAAATTCGAACCAAAGTATCGACTTGTTAGGGTAATTATTTCAATTAATTGATTTATTTTATTTAAATCTATCAATTTCCATCAATTAAATTTTATTTAAACTTTTTTTTTTTTTCAAAAAACATTTTTTTTTTTAGCATCGCATTGCAGAAGCTGAGAAGACTGCTCGTAAACAACGTAAAGAGCGAAAGAATCGTGCCAAGAAATTCCGTGGTACTAAGAAGACAAAATCTGTTAAGAAAGAAAAGTAAACTAGATAATGTTTAATTAATTAAGATTGATATTAAGTGTCACTTTAACCAAAAAAAAATTATTTTAAGAAATTCAAATCTCTCTTGACTTTGAATCATTTATTCATGAATTAAGAGTTCTTCATGTTTGCACGAATATATTATTAGAAAAAAATATTAATTTGCAAAGTCTCTTTTTTAATTAAATCATTAAAAAAACATAATTTTATAATTCTTCATGATTATATATATATATTATTATTTTTTCGTTGAACTCGAATCAAATGGAATAAAAAACAAAATTTAGATAGATTCCTTCCCAAAGAAAAAAATTTTTAAAGTTAACCCTTAGCGGCAGAAAGTTTACTGACAATCCACCATACATTTCCAACAATTTCTAAACCACTAACAACAGATTGATCATTAAATATAACTTCCTCTTCCTGGGAATCTTTACCAGATCTCCATAATTTAACATTCAATTCAGCATCCAAACTTTCTTCAATCATTAAAGCCATCTTGCCAAATCGTTTACTGGGACTACGTAAAGGAATACCATTTCCAGCTTTACGTTTAATATGAATTTCCAAATTTAATCCATTTGAAATATCTATAACATGTAATTTGACATATTGCACATATTGCATGGAAGAATTATTTTCATCCATATCAATAACTAAATCGATAACTTTAGAAAACAAATTGTAAGTACTGAAATTATAAGTAATATTTGATTTTGCATGATAAAAGACTATTATACGACCGGGAAAATGTAAGAAATCTTTCAGATAAGGAACTTTAAGTAATGGATTATCGGATGATACTAATGGAATATCGGCGATAGAAATTAATATTGAGGAACGCTTTTCTTCTTTTTCATTTATAAATGTATTTGATTGAGACCAAATCCAGGATTCAGGAAAATTTACACCCCAATCCTTTTCAATATAACCAGAACCATTTTCCAGATCAATTCTATCTTCTATAATTCCATTATTTTCCATATTAATAAATTCGATCATACCAGAAGATCTATGAGACATGCTTATGATTCCATGATTACATTCCAGGAAAGGAACATAAGCAAAAATACCCATCACATTTGGATGAGTAAAACTGAAAGGGTACGGAGTTGTATCATTGAAAAAGATGTATCCACGAACCGAATATGGGATAAAGGGGGGTCTTGTAATTGATAATTTCAAGGAAGGAATTTTTGATTTTGATTCTGATCCTTTTCCTATAATTCTACTCCAATCTTTAATTAATAGATCGGTATATGCGTCGTATTCGATATCTGTTGATGGAATTAATCTGATCGCAGGAAGACTTAATACCACTTCATTTTCGCTAAATTTATTTTGTCCAATCCTAATCATAAATTTACTCGAATCAGTACCTTTTGGATTAAATTCGCTAATATTATATCGATAATATAAACATTCATATCCGTCACGAATCACCATAACAAAAGCATGAGATTTTTCATCGTTTGGCGAAGCTGATTTATAAATCCCTGGTATAATTATAAGAGATTCATTTGTGACTGTTTTATAATACCACCCTTCAAAATAATTTTTATGGATGTGTTCCCCGTGATAAAACGTTGGTTTATAAATTAATTTGATATTTGATATGATTAATTGATAATTTATGCTAAATGCATAAAATATGAATGCAAATATTATACCAATGAACGCATATTTTACTGTAATATTAACCATCTTTTTTGAAATTTCTTAATGAGTGGTATATTGAAAATTTCGACTTATCATTAACGATCATTTTGTGCGACCTTGTGGTTGATCAGTAGAAAATATTTTTGACTCAACGTCAGATATAAATGATTAATTTGATTATCAAAATTTCATTTCAGGATATCAACCGTTGCAAAAATTTAAAATATTTAATTTTACTTGCATAAAAAAAAATATATATATATAATATTGTTTGTAATGATTCTTTTTAACCCACAACCCCTATTTCCAAATTAGGGAGTTTATTCTGTCGGAATAATGATAAAATTGGTCGTTATTTTAATATACATATTTGAAAACTAAAGTAAGGATTACATGTAATATTAACGTAGTAAAGATATTCCTTATAAAAAAAAAAAGATCTTTGATAACGTCGAAGAATATTTCCCTGGAAACATAAATCTCACATGCGTCAAAGCATGATTCGACCGCTCAAAACTTCAGAAGCCTTTACACGTTTTTTATTTAATCGAATTTTAGAAACATATGTTACTTATGATAAAATGAAATTTGAAGTAGAAAGATCGGATTATTAACAATTAATGAAATTCCATATTTAAACTTATTAAATTTCCTTCATGAAAAACTATAAATTGTATGGGTTAAAAAATCAAAGGAAGAAAAATGTCTCATCCGAACAAAAATACTTTTAATGATGGAAAGTTAAAATAAAATAACGTCAAAACGGAAAAGCGCAATGAAAAATTCTTTATAATAATATAACCCAAAATAACAACAAAATTCTTCATTTTTTAATTAACGTTTTCTAAATCTCCTTCAAATACTGTTTCTATTATTTTTTTTTTTTTTAAAAAAAAAACATGGATCTTTCTTGGTGTCCTGTGTGTGATAAACACACGTTTGCTGTTGAAAATTTATATTGTAGTGAAGCGTGCCGGAAAAAAGACAAATTATCTACTTTTAATGAAAAGTGTTGTTATGATTTTCCAAGATGTTCTTCGCAAAAACCTTATCAACATCCTTTTTATTCTCCGAACCATTCGCCGGGGTCATCTCCAAGTTCTTCACCAATGTTACATGCAACTCACAATACGACGAGTTACGAAACTTCTCCGATGGATCTTTTGCTTGATGAAAATCATAATTATTCTTATAATAATAATGATTATAATTCAACGCATTCATTAAATAATGAAAATACAAAAAAAATAAACCCTTTTTAATTTTTTTTTTAAAATATTGCTTGCTGGATGGGCATTGTATTAATTACGCTTTTTCGTTTGACATTTTTTAAATAATAATTTTTAATATAATTTTTAATTAGAATGGATTTTGTAAACTTAAGGTTCCCTTAAATTTTGAAATCCGAACAACTTTATCCCCCTCCCTTTTACCATTATCATATTTTTAAATTCTTGTAAAATAATTTTTTTCATTCCCTTTTAAACCAACCTTATCAAATATATCATTATTTATTTATTTTTTTTTTAAAGAAAAAAAAAAAAAAACCTTGATATTATTTTAACCTTCCTAATAATGTGCGCGTGTAAATTTTTGTTTGTGATTTTAATGAAGTACCTGGGTTATATATGTGACTTTTTTTTTTTAAAAAAAAAAATTGAAACACAATTTAAAGAAAATTCTTAATAAAATGATTGAAAATATATTTTTATATTTTATATTTCAAATTATAAAAGGTTTCGTGTGAAGCATATGGGCACTTTGCAGTAGAAAGGGAAACTACCAAAAAAAAAAATTTTTACTTTATAAGCAGATTTAACATTAACTCAAAAAAAAGTTTTTTTGATAGTTTCTTTCCTTTCTACCGCAAAAGCGCCTATATGAAGCAACAATCATATTTCTAAATTAAGAAAAAAAATTTTTAAACTCGTTTTTGTATGACGGACAATGAATCTACGATAACGGGAATTTCTATTAAGATTATCGGGATTGTTTATTATTTTATTAAAAGCCTCAAGCCGTGAGGTTTAGAGAATATTTTTTTTCCTTTTCTCACTTATCATAATGGTAACTTACGATTTTGAAAAAGAATCGTTGGAGATCGGTTTAATAGGTCTGGGTGATATGGGTCTGTTGTATGCAAAGAGAATTGTAGCAGCTGGTTGGAAAAAGTACGAAAACTTCGCTTGTATTCTAAAGGATAAAGGACGTTTATATTAAAATAATAATCTTTATACGCATATATGCATATATCAATTTGATTAGAGTGAATATATGTGACCAACCTAATCAGTATGAACATTTTAAAGAATTATTGAAAGGTTCATAATAAATTTCGAATATCTTAACTTTTCGTTGTTTAAAATGTTTGTAACATTTCTTTAATTCATTAGATAGTAAAATGAATGTTTGTCGAGATGGTCATGCAGTGTCTAGACGAAGTGATTTTATAATTTATTCCGTCGAAGCGGAAAATATTGATAGGGTCGTGGCAGAATATGGCCCATGTAAGTGAAACTTTTGGTGATGATGAGATGTTTCGCATTTTATTCTATATATAACAAACACTTTTTTGATTTTTCCAATTGTAGCCACGAAACTTGGTGCAATTGTGGCCGGTCAGGTGAGATAAATTGGTTATCGACAATTTGCGTAAAAAGTTATTCCTGGTTTAAAATTTTTTTTTGTTTCCGGTTATTTAGACATCAGTCAAAGAACCTGAAATTCGCGCCTTTGAAAAACATCTTCCCGATGATGTTCATATCGTCTCATGTCATTCGCTTCATGGGCCAACTGTGGACTCAAAAGGTCAGCCATTGGCAAGTATCTTAAGAATGGTTTTATATTAGAGAATTTTTTTTCATTTTTATTCAATTGTCAAGGAAATAATCCATCATTTATTTTAGGTGATGATTCAACATAGAGCCTCTCAAGAGAAGTTTGAAATCGCCTTGCGTGTTTTATCCTGCATGGATTCTGAAATCGTTAAATTATCGTATGAAGAACATGATCGAATTACTGCTGATACTCAAGCGGTAACGCATGTCGCATTTTTAAGGTATGAGTTCGAACACTTTAAATCGTAGTTTTTTTTTTTTTTTTTTTCCTAAATTTGAATCCTTTTTTTCTTTAGCATGGGAACCGCGTGGAAAACACAACGACAATTTCCAGTATATATTAATCTTGTTTATTTATTTCATACGCGTTTTTAAAATCCCCCTTCCGTATTTATGAAATCCTTGCCATCTTTTTTAGTGGGAAACTCCACAATACGTGGGTGGGATAGAGAATGTCAAAGTTCATATGGCGTTACGTATTTATTCAAATAAATGGCACGTCTAT